TCAAAATTTCTTGAAGAAAAAGTCAGGACTTCCTTACTATAAGGAAATGTCATTTCCTTAAGGTCGATTCAGACACATCAGTCCCGTTATAGTCTCGGCACCGAACCGGTCCTCTCTTTGGTCACAGAACTATCAACTATCTGACAGCTGGGAAACTGTTTGTCAACTGATGAGTATGAATGCCGGCAACATATTTGTATTAAAGAATATTTTGTATGACGGATTGTCCGATTCGGCGCAATCACTGTGACGAGACGTGACTGATGTGTCTGAATTGACCTTTACTGTAAGGAAATGATATTTCCGTATAGTTGTTAGCAATTAAATTTATAAGCGTCAAGTTTGACAATTCAACCTCAATACGTTTCCATAGTAACCCAAGTAATTTTATTAGGCATTTCAAAGCACCATTTATTTGGGAATAAAATTATCGCGTTTTTTTTTAAATCAATCAATATCTGTCGAATTTTAAACGATTTGCGGAAAAATAGTATGTTTACCTCGTAGGAAAAGCCACATTCCTGGACTCTGTGTTGCTAAGTCTCGGCTTGCGCCTCGACTTAGCAATCTTCACAGTCGTCCAGGAATGTTAAGCTTTTCCTACCCGGTAAACAATGTACCTACTATTGTTCGTTGAGGTCAATTTAAAATACGAATGGTTTGATTTTTAAATGTTTTGAAACTGTTTTGTTGTGGTATGTTTAGCAATTTTATTTTTAATGGGATTATGCCACAATTGGTTGTAATAATAATTACATTCTTATGTTAACCTAAGGTTACATTATCATGGAAATCCAATATCAGTTGATTTTCCAATTTTTCCTTTTTTGAGAATGATTTCCGGATTGGAAGTCGAAACATCAAAAACTGACAAAAGTATAATTATTATAACCAATTATGGCTTAATCCGATCAAAAATATCATTGTCAACATACAAATGTTAAATAATCAATAAAATGATGGTATTACAGTACTTGTTAAAAAAATAAAAAATGGCCCGATTTTCATTAAAAAGTCCCGGATTTCAGGTATTTTTTTAGGCTTGTCCCGAATTCGATTGAATTGGAGTTGGTCACACTAAGCATACCGCTAATGGAATATTTGCTTAGTAAACATCGGTTAACATATGAGGAGGTGTCAATCAAAATCAATCATGTCCACCTTAAGAAGTTTTAGGGAAATCGCAAAAAACGTATTAGTAAATAACCTTACATGAAAAATCGGATAAATTAGCATATATCATTTTATTTATTGAAATTAACTGACTCTTAGTAAATATTTCAAATCTGAAGGTATAAATAAAGCTGTAAATACATTTTAAAAAAAGGACATGTTCTTATTTGATTGGACTTCATGGACGTTGATAGAAGGGGTTGATAAAAAAACTCTTAGACTACTTAAAATATCTATTGTATTGTTACAAAAAATATCTTGAAAAATGGCTAACATTTACCAACGACACTTTCCACAAAATATAAATGTTTAAATGTGTAGTCCAATGTCAGGTTCTAGACAATCACAGGATTCGTCCACTTCGTCAGCATCAATTTCGTCGTCCTGGACTTCCACTATTATGGTCTTATACCAAGATAAAAAGTCATGTTTCTGCCAGTCATTACCATACATTTTCACAAGTAACGTCTCCACGTCCTTCTTCTTAGCTGCTTTCACTATATTGCTCAGTGGAAGTGACTCTACAGGAGTTGAGAACGACCTTGCAGAATGCCAGCCTTTTTTTTTGAGGCTTGTTGTAGGTTTCAAAATCACTTTTAAACCTAAAATTCTGTGCCGATTTCACTTTGATAACAGTAAGTTCTTGTCCATTGCGGTTGACAGCTGTCCCTTTCCTCACAAAAATCCTCTTCTTTTCAGATATCATTTCAATGTTTTTAAATCGTGTAGCCAAACTTTTAGCATCAATCAATCCCCAATCCTCTCCAAGTTTCCGTACTTCTCCAACAGAACTATATACATTGTAGTACTTTTCCTTTGTTGCAATGGTAGGCTGCTTCCTGAGTAACTTTTCAACCCTTCCGAACACCCGATCAGCGGGGAGGAAGCTATGCCCGCGAACAGGGTATGTTAGAACAATCTCCTCTAAAGCATTTTGCACTGATCCTAAGTAATACACTAATGTGTGAACAACGGCATTGTTTTTGTTTTGACCGGCACACCCATCACAGAACAGATTCAGTCTTGTTACATTTGAAAAATTAGCGGAGTTCAAGAAATTTATAAGTGCAGATGAAACTTCGGTCGCACCCCTTCCTGCAAGTTCTTCAGTCCATACGTAAAATATGGGGTTTTGTGCGTTTGATGCTACAATACAAAAAAAGTAAAAACTTAATTGTCTTTTGTAGAACGCGTCTTGAATAGGAGTTTTGGGAAGTGCTTGAATTTGCTGGAGATCAAAACAGAAAGTAACCTCATTTTCTTTGTTTTCCTTTAAGAGCCCATAAAAAGCATTAGCTCTTAATCTGTGTATTCTTTTCTCCATCATAAATTGGTTGACCACTACCAAGTCTTTCACAGCTTTAGCCTTCTCAATTTTCAGCTGAAGATCTATTTTATTGCATGTACTGCAAACGTCAGAAGCTGGTGATGAAAATCCGATATTTAATTAATTGAAAACTCTCCTAAACATAGATTTCTTAACTTTAAGATTATCAAGTACAGAATCATTGTATATTAGCCACAACTTCTTAATGTTTAAGTCTGCACCAAGATAAATCCTTTTCGATTTTTTTCGATTATAGTGGCTTTCTTTTCCTCTTAAATTTCTCAAAAAAAGGCGGACTGATTCCTTGTTCGCAGCAGATTTGTGACTCTTCCTATCGCCACCCCTCTAATCCTTAACAGCCTTTCCCTCTTTCACCTTTTTAGAAATATTAGTCAATCTTGTTCCCTTCACCATGGTAATATGCATGAAAAGTTTCCTACACACAGGTATAACTTTACCGGTTGATGAAAGTATAGAATATTGTACACTAAAACTTTTAGCCTTTGATTTTTCAGAGGTAAGCCTAGGCCATCGCCGCTTTATGTTACGTTGATTTATCCAACTTGCAATGGTGTTATCTTGCGTGTTTTTGTCAGGTATTTTGTAGAGGATATTTCGAACAAAAATAGCATCTATAGGCCTAACTAATGCACATTTCATACCTTTGTTCATGTGTTTACATGGAACAAACACACGACATCCCACTGGAGTACTGTATCGCTTAAGCTTGGCTCTAGTTTTTTTATCCACAGTCTTTTTATTTTTACGAGATCCTTCATTGGCATCGCCCACTCTCACTAAGTTTTCTTCATCCATGGAAAATTTCAATTCTATTTAATAAAAACTACTATAATAATATTAAAATTAAACCACAGTGCAATACAAACTCAATACTCGCTATCGACATAACCTAGAGGGAAAACACAGACAATGTGTTGACATGGTCAAATCACGTGACCAAATCGGGGCACTCCTATTAGCTGAATGGACATGTGGTGGTATGATTGAAACCAACTGTGGACATGATTTCATTTGATTTGGGAACCTAATATTGTGTATTCATTTTAAACAGGACATGATTTTTTTTAACCGAAACCGAAAACACCATAGAATAGGATTCACTCTTTATATTATGAAACAGCTGCTAACTCATTTTTTGATTTTTATGGACATGATTGATTTTTATGGACATGATTGATTTTGATTGACACCTCCTCATATCATGTTGGAACTATTCGTAAAAACAAAAAGGAAATACCGACAATCTTTTTAAATTCTAAAAACAGAGTTGAAAATAACGCAATTTTCGGATCGGATTTAAAAAAGACATTCTTTTGTGTACTTTGTCCCGAAGAAAAATAAAATAGTGTTAGTATCTTGTTCACTTCATCATGATATAGAATTTGACCACAAATAAAATAAACCTGAGATTATAGACTTTTATAATCACACAAAAAGGGGCGTAGATATGGTTGACGAAATGTCTGCGTTATATATGCCTCATAATGGCAAGCGATGGCCTCTAACATTTTTTTTACTGCTTACTAATGCAGGAATAAATAGTTATGTTGTTTATCAACGTAACAAGCCAGCTGAAAAACTAAAACGCAAATTTTTTTTAAAGAACTTGGTTTGGCACTAATTAATCCATATATAGAAAAAAGAGGTAACAATCACAGAATACCATCAGACATAAGAGCGAAACTAAAAAGACATGACAGCAGTGAAGACTCTCAAGAACCTCCAAACAAGAAACAACGAACAACATCCAGATGTGGAGTGTGTCCCCGTGGAAAGGGCAGAAAGTGCAAAAAAAAAATGTGCGAAATGTGACACTTTTCTTTGTCTTGAACATTGTGTATATTTTTGTTCTAAATGTGCAAATAATTGTTAATTATGCTATGTAAACAAAGTTCATAGTTACTGTTTATAAAATTTTGTATTTTTTTGATTCTGTAGGTATCTCTCAATAAAAATTTTGGTAACAGAAATTGTGGTAGTGGTTTAAATAGTGTAAATAGTGGTAGTGGAAATTCTTTAAATGATTTAACTTTGAAAAAGATTATAAAACAATATAACCATGATTTAAAATCTTAAGGTGGCGTGTAATAATAAAATATTTTCTCAATTTCTCTATTTTCTCAATTTTATAAATAAAAAAAATGGGGTGATAGTTACCCCAACACACAGCTGTCAGAAAATTTCACCACACAGTTGACGGGTTAAAAATGTGTTCGTAATTAACAAAATTATTTAAATTTCATTCTTCCCCATAAAAAAGCCAACACGTATCGTAGATTAAAACTCTCAACCGGCTTAAGACAGTCTGCAGTATGCACATTTTGCTACAATGTCTCTGGGAAGTACTAACATATTATCAACAAATGATGCAATATGTATTTTTAGAATACGCTGCGGTTGCATTACCACCCGCCGTCGCTGTTTCGCTCGACGTTCGTACTCGTACATCAAATCAATCTATATATTCTATATTGGAACATTGGAAGTGGTTCCCTCTTATCGTTTGATTTTTTATCCTATATAAGTGTATAATAACTTTAGATATTATTATATTAACGTCAGATCTTGATTGTTGCACATAATACATATTCTATTGCCATTGTTTTTGTTTAAAGTGAACAATAGGTAAGTTCTAAATTAATATAATATAGGTACTTATTGCTTTAGTGTTAATAAACATATTTCTTCTTGGAAAAGCAAGTTCAATGTGTGGTATTAAAAAACTGTTTATAAACAAAGCTATAAATATGGGATGTTTTGATTATTTTAAATTTTTTTAAATACTATAGGGGTAACTTGATTGTTTAATATTGTTCTGAAGCTATTTTCTTGTGGAATTGTAAATTAATTACTATTTAACTGGGAATAAGCCACAATTAAAGATAAAAATACGTTTATTGACGTTTCAATTTTCACTTCGGAAATTGAAACGATTTCCGAAGTTTAAATTGAAACGTCAATAAACGTATTTTTATCTTTAATTGTGGCTTATTCCCAGTTAAATAGTAATTAATTGATTGTTTAATGTTTATAAAAATATTAATCGATAGATTTTTGTTTTAAATATTTTTTGACGCAATACCGGAAGGGTTTTTACCAGTAATAAATAAAGATCAAATCACAGATCAAAATGTTTCAAAATATATTTAGCAACAAAAAATATACCTAACTGTGTTCATATGACGTGGGATTTAATGGCGGCCAATTAATACCTTCATTCAAAAACTTCCCTTCCCTGGGGCTTCCATTTGTGAAGTTTTTGAGGCCAACGGAAGTCAGGCATTCTCAATAGGTGTCCAAACCATTTTGAACCTCTTCTTTTTATTCTGTCAATGACCGTTTCTGTAGCACTCATGTTATTTCTTATAGATTCGTTGGTCTTCCTTTCCTGCCTTGATGTTCTAGCACTTTCAACTGCCAACAATATTCTCTTCAGGTCTGTATTAATTGTCCATACTTCAGAACCATAACATAGAACTGATTCAGAATGATGATGATTTAGAAATGTTGCGATCCCACTATAAGGAGTTCAGACATCCGACAATTTTATGTCCCTAATTAATTCGGTGTTTAATTTAATTTTGGTTTTTCCCAAGCCGTTGTTAGCAATGAGTGCACCTAAATATTTAAATTTTTCCACTTGTTTGATTTTCACGTCCTCGTCTATCAACACTTCAAACCTTGCAACTGAATTGATAGCCAAATATTCTGTTTTCTTCATGCTGACTTGTAACCCCCATTTTACATATTCTCTGTGTAGACGCTTTATAATAAATTCTAGATCATAAGAATCTTGAGCTAGGACGACTTGGTCATCCGCAAAGTTCAGGGAGAACCGTACGTCATTTCCTATCGAGATTCCCATTCCTTGGCTGTGGTTTTTCCAATTTTGGAGGGCTGCCTCAATATATAAATTAAACAGTAAGGGTGACAGACTGCATCCTTGTTGTAGTCTTTTAGTTACTTTTATTGGCTTTGCTAGTCTATTTCCGATATTTATATAAGTAGTGTATCCCTGTATACTTCTGTGATTATTCCTAAAAGGTATGGACTAATGTCGAGTTGTTGTAAAGCTTGCCACAATTTAAGTCTTGGAATTGTATCATACCCCTTTTTTAGGTCGATAAAGGCTAGATGTACCTCGGTACCAACCGCTATCTTTTTTCTTTTAATTGTTGTAGAATATTAGAGTATAAACAAGTTATCAGTGCAAGATCAAAGATTCAAACGTCAATAAACTTATTTTAACCTTCAATTGAGGCTAATTCCCATTAAAATAGTAATTAGATCTTATCTCTGTCGTTGGCTCGGTTGGTGTTTCTCTTCTTGTTCTTTCTTTTTAATGACTGCTCGGATGTAATTGTGAACAGTATTCCATCCCTCCGTACTTCCCGTCATCTTCACGATCATGTCTCTTACAGTCAAAGGGGTCATACCTATTTCTTTATACATTTTGTTTTTCTCCACTGTACATCTATTACACATCAGCATTGTGTGAGTAACAATGTCGCAATATTCGCAGTATAGGCATTTATCTGTATCTGTCTTTCTGAACCTATGAAGATGCGCCTTAAAACAGACAATCTACCCAGTCCCTTAGGCTCGTGATGAGCATCTTGGTCCACTGGTCAACATCTTCCTTGTTGTTCCACTCTTCTTGCCATCTTTCCATTGATTTTCCCTTTCTTCTTTTTTTTTATAGCTGTTGTCAAATACTCTCTTCCCTCATAAAGATGTCTCTTTTCAACTGCTAACACACGCAGAGGAACACAACCCGTGATAGTCCACAAGGCCGCCGCAGATAAATAATATAATAATAATAATAATATAATAATAATAATAATAAAATAAGAAAAATATTATACACTAATTATTCTGTTCTACATATTTAAAGTGGTAATTTAATTATTCAATTAGCGTTTTGGATTTTTTGTATTGTGTATGAAAGACAAGTTACATTTTCCTACTATTCTTTATATTTTTTTTTACGAGATACGATCGTGCGCGTGCAGCGGTGAAATCTTGCAACTTTGTTAGCATAATTTATAAGTAGTTATTGAAGAAAATGGGATTTTTCAAATGCTGTGTTATAAATTGTAAAAATACAACAAAAAGTAGTATTTTAAATGCAAGTTCTATTGGTTTCCAACTTCTAAAGCACAAATTAATGTAACGAGATAAGTTAATTTATATCATAATAAAGCAGAAGTAATTAACATGTCAATTTCCAATCCGCAAATGGTTTTCAAAAAATTGTTATAGATAGATGATGCTTTGTAGCATCCTATTTGACAGTTGACTACTGGGTCTCGATCTTGCAGGCTAAATAGCCACGCTTTTGAGTTGAAATTCTGAGGGAGATATTTCAATCTCGGATTGATGTCGAATTCTGTCGGACAATTTTCAATTAAAGGTGACTAATCTACAAATTGAACTAAACGGTAGCGGTAACCATGAAAAATTTCATTAGTAAATTCTTACCGGGGTCATTTTTATTGTGTATGCTTCGCCCATGTAAATATGTAAATTTGTAACCCATCTAAGATAAATTTGCCCCCGTAACAATATAAATTGGTGCGATTCACTAGTGTATAGTGAGACAAGTTCATAGAATAGTTTGGAACATCGGTAAAATTATCAATATTTTGCTGGTCTATATATATATATATATATATATAATATATATATATATATATATATATATATATATATATATATATATTATATATATATATATATATATATACGTTTTTAGAAAGAATGTTAATCAGAGAAATATGATATTTTAGTTAATTGAAGTTTATGAAATATGATATCTTCCAGATTTTATACATATGTACATAGGCGTAGTGTATTATTGGGAATATATTTATTAAATATACTTTATTATTAACTTTAAAATAGTTTTAAGGTAAGTAAAGTAAATTTGAGGCCAGTTTATTCTTTATATAGTATTAAACCTTTAACGGCCGCTCAATATACAAAGAGAAATTTGACAATTAATTTATTAGATTGGATTAAAAACACAAATTAGGAATAAATTACAACCAGAAAGATTTTTTTCTCATTTTTAAGGAAAACAGTACAATTTTTAATAAAGGAACATATTGTATCTTAAACGTAAATTAAATTTTAAGGTAACAATTTTCGAAATATTCGGGGTATAGATGCATTCTACACTTTTTACATAAATAAATAGTATTACTTTTGTACATCCTACATTTTTGCACTATCGTCTCTTTTTATAATGTGGCCAATATTGTCGAATCTGGTTTCATCTGGTAAAGCAAATTTAGATTGACGCCCATGTACTGACACTGATGTAGCGGTTTCTTCACTATAATAAATTAAAATTATAAATCTATGTCGGCTCATGCTTTCTCTTATAATATGCACTTCTTTATCCTCATCCTTTGACCAATGCATATCAATTTGAAGCAGAGTGTAAACCAGATAATATACATATGCTAATAATTTTTTTAAATATATGTTATTCATTTCAAATGAGTGACGGTTATTCTCAATTACATTTTTATCAAAAAGAGTGAATAAACTTCAATATATGACTTGCCTACATGGTTGGCTTTTATATTGTCTAAATATCAATCAGACTGATGTTGAATTACTACTGAGCACGAAAGAATATCCGTTATTACAACTTGAGATAAATTTGGATTTACTATTTTTGCCTGGTTTTTTCTTTGGACGTTTTATCTGTGGTTCAGAAGAATATCATAATCAGAATCGTTAGAATTCCCAATCACTTGTATTTCATATGTACCTGCAATATCCGATTTTATTGATTCTTTACAAATAATATTATCATCAATCTCTTCAAGGAATACAATAATATACCAGCAAACAAATGGCAAAGATACCTGACGGAACTGTTTAAAGCAAAGGAAAATAATAATCAACACAATAACATACCTGAACTAAGAGACGAAATAGAAATCAGATTTCACGAAGTAGAAATAGTCATAAATTCGCTCAGAAATAGAAAGTCACCAGGACCAGATGGAATAACCAACGAGCTTCTAAAATACGGATGAGAAAGTTTAACCCTAGAGATGACAAAACTTATACAAAAACTAATATTGCACTGCAAGATACCAGACGCATGGAGAAACAGCATAATGATACCAATGGTCAAGAAAGGAGATAAAGAAGACCCCAACAATTATAGAGGTATAAATCTACTGAACACCGCACTTAAGCTTACCACAAAAGTCCTAACCAACAAAATCAATAAACTAACAACTTTATCAGATGAACAACAAGGATTCAGATCCGGATGATCCTGCGTAGACGCCGTATTTGTACTAAGACAAATCACAGAAAAGGCCATCATATCTATGTTTTATAGACCTGACAAAGGCTTTCGATCGCATCCAAGTCGAAGACGTCTTACACCTACTGTATAAAAGGAACATACCAATCAATATTATACAAACCATCGAAAGCATCTACCTCCATAATTGAATACAGGCAAAGATAAATGGAAAACTAACACAGTGTATACCAGTACAAAGCGGAGTCAGACAGGGTGACTCGTTAAGCCCACTTCTCTTTAATATATTAATGGACGAAATAATACAAGCAGTACGTAAAAGTCATGGCTACAGAATTGGGAACAAAGAAAGGGTTAGATACCTGGGAATAGATATAACTAGTTACGGAGATGTTGAAGAAGAAGTACATAAGAGCATGCAATATAGAAGACATAAATGGATGGGTGACAAAACGAAAACAAAAGTGAAACAAACACATCAGTAGAATGGCGGAGAATAGAATAGTACGAATAGCACGAGATAAGTCACCAAATGAACGAAGAAGTATTGGCAGACCAAGAAAAAGATGGTGCGACAATTTAAACAATTTAGGACACTAATATTAAAGAAGAAACAAGCTTTAAAGCCTACAAACTAGAAGGAAGAAGAAGAAGAAGATCAATGTCTTCTACATCAGAAACTTTCTAATCTAATCTCGGTGGCAAATAAACCACATTAAGTGGCATTTTCACAATATGAGTCTTCTTCTAACAAAGCTATTAACTCTTTAATAGTTAGTGCAATCTTTATTTTATATTTCGAGAATTTACTGGAATAAACAGAAATGCACTGCTATATAAACGCATTCATATGATAATAGTTTAGCTTACTTCATTTTAATTTATATGAACTTCATAATATATTTTCATATTTATATAAACAAATAAACACAAGCAAACTTTCAAATTAAGTTAAAAAAAAAACAAATATAACGTTTACAGCACACAGCAATTCTATAAATAGAAAATGATGTGTAATGATGTGTAATTAAAATTGCAGATTGTTTTTAGTCTAACGAAAAAAAAAATTATTTTCCAAAGTTTTCTGTTTTTTGAAGTTCTGTATTAGATACTCTCTAATAAGAATAAAATTTTATTTTATTTTGTTAGACAACTATAAGATACCTGTTAAAAGAGACATGATAATTTAATAATTAAATCGGTCTTAGATTTAATTTTTACGTAATTACTTGTGTTTAAATAAATAATTAAATTTTTTTTTGGTACGCCTCTGCAAAATTGATAATTTCAATACGATTTCGTTGAAAAGTTATCGTTAAGGGCTTCGTAAGTAGGATGTTGCCAAGTAATCACCTTCAATTAAAAATTGTTTTAGTATAATCTTATGTGCTTAATTGTTCAATTATAGATGATGTGTCTCTGACCTTGCATAAATTCAGTTGGTAGAGACATTCTTTGGAAAATAGACCATTCTTTTGATTTTGTAGCCGTAGATTTTTGAAAAACAGACAAATTATAATAAAGGATGTATATTGGGGATGATTCATATATTGAAAGAAGAATTAAATAAGAAATACATATTATTTATTATTTCCTATGTTATCATTTACACAAATTACAACAAGGTCAACTGAGTTCATTGATATGTTTAGATTTTGTAATACATATTATCACATAATAATGTATTTAAAACTAATATTTGGATCGTTTTTCTTTATAGATCAAGGTGTAAAACATGGTAGATGTTGAGGAAAAAAAGAAGTACAAAGTGCTAGAAAACGTGCTTAATTATATAAATCAAAAGTACATATCGTTTCCTGAAGATATTAGGAAGAGAAATAATGAAATTCTTAAGCAGGTATTATTTTTTTCTGTATACATATATTTATATTACTTACACACAATTGGTATAATACTGATTGGTATTTTAATAGTAACGATTGTTAATATTGGTATGAACACCAAATATAGCCCAAATTCAATAGGATTGTCAGTGTATCGCTTTAAAATGATAGACACTGGAGGGGCACGAAACGAGAGATGAGTGTAGTTCAATGGTGGCATGTGCATTTTTAAAATAAGGGAAATCATTGTGAGGACTAATTCGAAAGGAACCCCTTACATTAGACTTCTTTAAACGTACTGATATTGGAATAATGATCTTATGTACCTATTGATATTTTTAAAATAACATTTATATTCAAATATAAATACCAACTGCTTTACAGAAAATAATAATAGACCCGGCAGCCTAATGTTAACCTTAATTTTGAGAAACAAACTTGCCATAATAATAATAAAGTTATTAGGTAAGTACTTACAATATTATAACCTCGTAGGATAAAGGATCGGACAGATACTTTCCGAATGGTAAAACAACAACAGCAACAAAAAACAAATTCACTAGAACTATATGAGTTATTATTTAAAATAAATCTGTTTATGCTGATTCATTTCCAGATGTTAATTCACCATCACTACTGTCTTCTTCTTGAGTAATAATAATGGGCTCGATAAGAACATCAATACACGTGTCTACGTCCCACATTTTATCTTTTTCTTTCTGTGCATGTTTAACGCATGACTGTCAGTTGGAAGTGGTTATATGGTTGTTCTAATAATCATTTGACATCTTTTAATTTGAAGGTTTTGTTTTATTTTTGCGCTACCTCATTTTCTATATGTGCCCATATCAGCTCGATATGATTCAATTCACAATGATACGGTGTACGGTGATGTTATGCTCACGTGCCATTTCGTCTACTGCAAATCTGATATAGGAATTTTAACAATGTTGTAGTATTGCAATAAGTATATTACTTTCGAAAAGGCTAACAATGTCCGCCTGTCCCTCTTTTGACTTTCAGATATACCTTAACAACACTGACAAGCTGCACGCGGTACTAAATAATAAATTTCGTAACACGGCGAGTATACTTTATCTATTTCGGACTTATAGCAGATGTAATCGTCAAAATTAAGAAGTAAATTTGTTTGCTAATAAATAAATAAATATATAGCCGCTTACTATAGAGTTTTTACGAACTACAAAATGTCTGCCCTGACAATCCTATTGAATTCAGGATATAGTGATTTTGCCCGTCACCATGTGGATGGTGGAACTCTTCCTGGACATCAAGAACGCATTTAACAATGCAAGCTGGGGAAAAATCATCAGATTATTGAAAGAAAAGGAAGTATCCCCATACTTGTAGAATTAACGAGGGATTATTTTACATACAGGAGCATTAATATATCTCAAGACGAGACAATGAAGACATCTGCGGGAGTGCTAGGATTGCTGGTTTGTAATGTACTCTATATATAACACGACATTCTAGAGATAAACGTATGAGAAGGAATACAGGCAATTGCATGCAAATACAGCTCTTGAACTAGTTAGGATGTGACTAGAGGAGAGATAACTGACGCTAGACACACAGAAGACTGAGGCCATAATCTTTAAGGGCCCATGATCATATCCTTTACTTTGGAAGAAGAAAGCATCGTATCTGCCAAGGAAGTCAAATATCTGGGCGTAATATACGACACCAATCAGAGCTTCGGTGAACATTTAATATATGCCGCGAAAAAATCCGACCAATACACAGCAGCGCTAACAAAGATGCCAAACGTAGGGGATCCAGGGGCAGGTAGCAGAAGAATTCTTATTGAAGTAGTCCACTCAGCCATACCATACAAATGCCTTCCTAAGGGTCGCCTGTGCATATAAGACGATATGACCTGTTGACTTTGAACCTATTGAACTATTTTCTTTGTTGATTGTCATTGCATGTAAAAATCCATTAATTATTTATATTTCAGCTTTTGGACACCTTGATATCCAAAATGACGGAAAAGAATTCACTTTTTAAGGAAATGTATTTCACCACATTTTTTGGAGGCAGTTTCTATGACGGTTTAAGAGTCGGCGCCCCAGACGAATTCGATTTAGATTTGCTTATGAATCTGCCAAAGATACTTAATACAGATTTATCCAATAGTAAAGATCCAGGCTTCGTTCACTTGAAGATAAATAACCTTCTGGAGCTTTTCAAGCAACCTCACTTAGCTGAACGCTTTAAGTTAGTATATTTCAGATTAATATTACCTTATTTTGCCTAAAGAGCTTATGTTGACGTCACTTGTCATTGTCAATAAGAATGAATCGATATATTTGTTATTATTTATATGTCTTTATTAAACTCTTTCAGGTTCGTCTAGGTACTTATCTACCACCAGCTTTTTCTACGTATTCTCCTTCTACTTTATTTCTTTACTTCTACATTATTAACCAGTAATTCGTAATTTTTTTCACTTTATTTATTCTTTTTGCGTTTCTGTAGCCACATTAACTCATTTTATCTTGTTTATTCTTTATTTAAATAACTATCGATGTTTTGCCGATCCACTGTCACATATCGATACCTCAGTTCAATAGCGTAACAAGTCCAAAATTAGAATATTTGAGAAATCAAAGAAAAGGAAATTTCGTATATATATTTTTTCAACTTTAATTTTTTATGGACGACAATAATGAATTTAGATTTGTATGGCAATAATACATTTTAGTGCATGAAAATATTTAGATATTTGTTAAAAGTAACACAAATTTAAACTTTAGTGACATTGTTGCACTATTAAACTAAACTTTTTTCTTGAATTTTGACATAAATTACCTACTTTTGTAAATGGACGTCTGCCTGGTGACTATAGTAATTAAAATAAAATTAGCTTTTTCGAAAATTAAATTTTTAATTTGAAACAAAAATGAATAAATATGAAGTTATTCAGAGTCGGACTCGGGCCCCTACCTCTACTCCATCTTTTTTGGCAAATTTTGGTAAAAGGGCCAATAAACCTGACTAAATTGTCCTTACGAAGATCCAGTAGATCTTTCTTTTTATTTTTATCGATTGAAAGGCTTTTTTTGAAGGCTGGTTTTAGCTCAATTTTCTTATTTTGTCCTTGATTTCTTAGCATAGGATAAATAACAATCAGAATTACCACTCTCAGGAGCCGCCTTTGAAGTGTGTTAGCACCCGATCGCCATATTTTAAACGGAAAACACAGGCTCGGATTAGGAAATTTGTGACAGGCTACGTCAGGACCGTACTTTAAATTTTTAGAGTTTAATAATTTAGTAAATTTAAAATAATTTAATATATTCTTCAAATAAAAGTACGACAAAATATTACATATCATGTCTATGGTTGTCGTATATAAATTAAACAAGGTTAATTTTTCTATTCCTGGATTAAGATATTATACTTGGATTGTACTGAATTAAAATATAGAATAGAAAAAAGAACATTTTCTGAAAATTATATACAAGAAATAGATACATACATAAATATGATGGATTAGAATTAATTCCGTAGTGAGCATAGTCCAAATAGTGTGAAGTGAACATCACCTAAGATGCAAACTTGCGGTTGCACGACATAGGACGATGCCCTTCTGTTAAATATAATTGCACTTACATGCTTTTAAGTTGAAAATACAAATATAAATAATTCTTAGCTGTAAAATCAATAAACAACTGATAACTAAACTAGAAATAAAGAACAAATGTCATTCATAAATGGTTTATTTGTAATTTTCACATAACTAATAAACAAATACAAAAATTCGATACTCGTGAGTATTTGTAAATTGCACGGTTTTTTTTTGACTATTTTCTCCAAGAAAACAGCGTCTTTGAAATAATACCAAACATCTGAGAAATGAGAACTACCGCTTAAAGCTTCAAGTTTGTGAACTAGAAGATCAACTAGTAACAATGAGAAAAGAAGTTTGTCAAACATTTCACTTGAAGAGTATAAGAAAACTACTTTCAGATTTTGTCCATCTAGAGACTGTGATACTTTCTTTAAAACCCTTAAAGTTTGTCAGACTCACATTAATGTTACAAACCTGTTAAAGTTTAATAAGGATTGGAGAATAACAATTCATAGAGTGATAGAATTGTGGGATTTACTAAAAGCTTCTGGATTTCAGTATTTACTGTCTAGAAGATTGAATCAACACGCTTTGGAAAAATGAGACAACAGCACGGTTATTGTATCCAGCCAATTATAATTCAATTACAAAGGGACTTTAAGAAATTGTTATGTTAAATAGGTAAAGAAATAATAAATAAGACTTACTCACAATCAATTTAATTTAACTATCTGACGACCGGTTTCGCTTTCTACAATATGCAAAGCATCCTCAGGTCTCGATACAAAGTTAAACAAATGCTGAAATAATAAAAACCCATATTAGGGTGTTGTCCAATAACGGTAAACAAAGTAGATGTTGTAAATTACAATAATTATGCCAATATTACATGTCTGTGGTTTTATTTAAATGAGTAAGTTGAATAAAAGGTATAAAAATTTTAAAAGTTTAAACAGGCAAGGTAAGGCCCACAAATTGTTATAAAATAGTCTCTTCGATTGTAATAAATTAACAAATGAGCAAATAAATAAATAAACATGGTAGAACATGGTTGAAATCCATCCATCAATTAATAGAGTACCGGCATGTAAGTAATGTTTATTTTATTTATTTATTTGCTCATTTGTTAATTTATTACAATCGAAGAGACCATTTTATAACAATTTGTGGGCCTTACCTTGTCTGTTTAAACTTTTAAAATTTTTATACCTTTTATTCAACTTACTCATTTAAATAAAACCACAGACATGTAATATTGGCATAATTATTGTAATTTACAACACCTACTTTGTTTATCGTTATTGGACAACACCCTAATATGGGTTTTTATTATTTCAGCATTTGTTTAACTTTGTATCGAGACCTGAGGATGCTTTGCATATTGTAGAAAGCGAAACCGGTCGTCAGATAGTTAAATTAAATTGATTGTGAGTAAGTCTTATTTATTATTTCTTTACCTATTTAACATAACAATTTCTTAAAGTCCCTTTGAAATTGAATGATAATTGGCTGGATACAATAACCGTGCTGTTGTCTCATTTTTCCAAAGCGTGTTGATTCAATCTTCTAGACAGTAAATACTGAAATCCAGAAGCTTTTAGTAAATCCCACAATTCTATCACGCTATGAATTGTTATTCTCCAATCCTTATTAAACTTTAACAGGTTTGTAACATTAATGTGAGTCTGACAAACTTTAAGGGTTTTAAGTAAAGTATCACAGTCTCTAGATGGACAAAATCTGAAAGTAGTTTTCTTATACTCTTCAAGTGAAATGTTTGACAAACTTCTTTTCTCATTGTTACTAGTTGATCTTCTAGTTCACAAACTTGAATTTCTTCTAGTTCTTGGCACTGCTCATGTAACATTCTCTCCTTAGCTTATTTTATTCTCTTTTTTATTAATCGATCAGTTTCATTATATTTAATTAGATTTTTTGTTTTGAATGATTTTCTTTCATTCATTATTAGTAGTATTTCTTCAGTCATCCAATCTTTATGTTTTCTATTCTTTGGTTTTAAGTTTTCATTTGCTGTTTTAATTATTGCTACTTTTATATTTCCCCATTTTCCCATGTTGATGAGAATTTTTTAGTTTAATTTTTTCCCTTTGATAATTAAAGCTCTTGCATAATCTCGTGTTTAAAGGTCTTCGATGCACTCGTTTTCCTTCCTTCCTGAGTTTTTTGTACGTTTCCTTCTTATCCCCTGTTTTTCTTTGTTGCATAAGTTTATATATTTTTTATATATATTTTTTTCGTTATATCTTCACATTCAACATCGAACCCACAGTTGCGTGGAGTTAGTTCTTTTGATCATAGTATGTCGTCTGTCGCTTTCTTTATTGTTCTTCTACATATATACCATTGATCGCTAGCTGTTAAATTCTCATCTATTATGTTTTCATTTTTAAGGTTATTTTTAATTCTAGTGTACGGAGCTCTTTCAAAAGTTTTAAATTATAGAGAGTGCTTTTTTGCCCTTTCTTTTTTTGCGTTTGAAATTCTTGCTCTTATTTTTGCGCCTACCAAGAACTGGTCTGAATATGTGGGCTAATGTATATTAGCCCCACGATGATTACTTGAATTCAATAGATTACCTAAGTGCCTGGTTTCTATTAGGATTGATCTCTTTGATTTTTTGTTGTTTCATCAGGCGACGTCCATGTTACTTTATGGATACTCGTGTGGGGAAGTGGGTACTTACAACGACCATTCTCTTGGAACTTGCAAAACATATTATTCTATTTCCATTGTCGTTGGTGATACCATGAGTACTGAGTTTTCCGATGTATGAACTATACATATTTCCATTATAACATTGTTACAAGATTTTCTTATTATGTATCTTATATTAAGATTATGTATGTTATCTTATGTAACAATGTTATAATATTTCTTATTATAACATTGTTACAAGATTCACAACTTGCAAGGTTATTCTATAGTATATAGAGATATAAATATTCGTCGGTTTACTGCCAAAACCAGATAAGTTACATTTTGTTAGTTTTGTGAAAATCAAGTTTAAAAGTTTAAGCCTACAGTAAAATAACTACATAAAAGGAAACATTTAATAACCGATAAAATAACATAGATTGTGGTAATGTGAAAATAATTAATACCAAAAATCAGAAAAAAAATTAGGAAATATTAAAAAATTTTTAAAAATGCAAAAAAAAAATCTGTAGTTAACCTATTTTGCCTGAACTGATTGGCGTAATTTGAAACTTGTCTTAAAGTATTTTTAACTTAAATATCAACTTCAGGATCACTATCTTCAAGTGCTGGTTTACCAATATTGTCTTTAACATCGTCGGAGGATGGTAAATTATAATAATATGAGTGAAATTCATCTGGAATCACACTCTAGATTTGCACAACTTCAATAAATCTTGTTTTTTTTTGGAACTTATAGGTCGCATCCTTGTATACGCGTTCTTTAGCATTATTTCTTTCAAATTATATATTTTTCAACTTCTCCCAAAAACGTTCATCCTTTTATATTCTGAGGTATGATCATACCTATATTCAAGGATTCCTGGTTTAGCGTTTTGGTATCGAAAACACTTAACTTTTAACCAGTTTACCTTTTCGTTTTTCATGTCTCTCGTTTTATTTTTAATAAGCTTAGAAAGGCTTTCTAAGTCAAGAAAATCTTTATATTTGAGTTCCTGTAAAAAAAAACGGTTTCTCTTTTGATGATGTTATTCTGGCAATGCGAAATATTATTAGCCAATCATGCGTTGTATACACAGGAACATACTTCTGGGCTCGTTCAATGGCACTGTGCATACTGTCTACTTCCATGTAGCTGTGTCCACTTTCCAAAAACTTTTGCTCTATAATCATCAAGTTGGGATTTTTTTGAACCAAATAGAGTAACAAAGCGCTAACATTTTGGTTCCTGTTTTGTCCACTGCAAGTGTCGGAAAACACTGATAATGCATTTACACTATTGGGAAGCTGATTAATATAAGTAAAGAGGCAGGTGACAATCTCTAAGCTACCCCTTTTTCCATGAAGCTCTATCCAGCTATAACAAAACGCATTATTTGTCGGTGCTAATTCATACACTGTCAAATTTATAAATGCAAATTTTTAGACTGTAGTACATTGGACTCACGCCGCTTCGGTATTTGAAGCACACATTGCAAGTCAAATGTAGCACATACGAAATTGGCCTCTTTCATAGCTCTAGCTTTGTTTCTCGCTTGTGCTGTGTTGCAATCCTCTTTTCGAGCTACGTGTTCTTGATATTGCATCTGTGAATACTTTTTCTTTTCTTCATCATTAGTCTTGTATTGTATGCAGAGCTGGCATTAATCTTTTTGGAGTGAAGAAAGAATAGTTGTAATTATTACAAAAAATGTGTCTATAAGTGATTGAAGATACAGGTGAGGTACCATCATGTTCACATAATTATTTATACATTAAGTACATTTTATTTTATACTAAATTTACAAACTAGATTATTTCATTTGGTAGAACTTCTCGTATAGTGGAACTCCAGTATAGGAAAACTTTCAATATGCTGCATTACCCTTTAGATATCATCAAAATAAACTGCAAAAACAAGATAATTGCACCTATCTGTTTTATACGCATAGTCATTCTATAAATCTACTATACTTTAACAGCAAAAATAAATTAAATGGTATCTAAACGGTTTGTCAAGAATTAATTTTCTTTTTCATATGAAATTTGTACTTTTCGTTAAATGTGCACTTAACTTGTTTCTGTTGTACAGTTTTGACCAAAATGAATAATTGCCAAAACAAGCCTCTATAATTCACCTCTTTTCCATTGTCCGACACTTATCTGTTTTACGCAGTACATTTATATTCGGATTTTGATTACGAAAATGCACTTAACTTAAACATGGTAAAAAATGCACTTATCTGGTTTTGGCAGTAAAGCGACAATATACTTTAAAAATATTGCATATCGTAACAGGATATAACCAAAATAATTATTTTCCCACCTTGTTTTAGAGGTTTGGACAGATTAGTAGACAATAAGCAATATCTTGATAATAAGAAGGTTCGTCAGTGGATGGAAGGTATAGTGTCACAGACCATAAACGACTTTCCTCTAGAGAACGGCTCCCGCGTAATTAAAATTTCAAAAGGAAAGTTTTTGGTAAGTAGTTTTTTGCACTTGATATCCATTTTCCAGTTTAATTATGTGTTTCTTGTGCGGATGTTCTCGATATATTTTTACTAGTAGGAATACCCAGTCTTTGAACTAAAAATCTAAACGTCAAAATTGTTATGATATATTATTAGGCAACCCAGACTACTAACGTGGGCATCGTTGGTTGACTAAGGTGTAACGAATATTTTGCCTACAACATAGGGTATTACTCTAAGGGGTTGAAAATTTGGGACAGAAATTATTGGGTTGAACATACGGCAAGCAAAACAAATCGAAACTTACGTGAACGGCCATGGTTTATTTGGAGAACTGGGTCGTGAATGACAAAGGGATTGAACTGTAGCAACTACAAAAATGAAATAAAGGGGTCCTTACATAAATCTCCTGAAATAAACAAAACACAAGAAGGTCCTCAAGCTATTTAAAATAAGGGCGCCGCCAGTGGCGGCCGGTCAGGGTCGGCAGGGTCGGCAGTGCCGACCCACATCTTTATAGATATTATAGATTATTTTAATATTTAATTTAATCAGTATTTCAATAAATAATTGTGGCAGGTAATCAGTTGATGTCATTTGTTTTTGTGAACTAAAAAAAATATATGTGAGATAATAAAGACTAAATTTTATTCATGGTTTTTAAAAGAATTCGTCCAATCTGAGCGTTAAGTGATCCTTGCGTAGACACTTTTCAAATAAATGTTCCGCTATCGGAGACATCCATCCGCCTATGAATTCTTGAAAAGACACGTTTTGTTTTTTCGGCTAGCCGATCCCAACCTTGACTTTACTTGTAAAAATCAACGGAATATTGGTTGATTAGCAACCAAATATACATTTCTTTCCATATGAACTTAATTACTAAGTCCGGCAGATTTAAATTTGCCGATGTTTCATTTGGATTGGTGATTGGTCGCGAACTGTACATTGCGAGCGTGGGACGAAATGTTATTTCATTTTTATATATTTAGTAAACTGAAATGATATTCAGTGCACGTTTATCTTTTTGTGATTTATTTTTATTTTCTAAAGTAATACTGTGATACGTTTCGTCTGCCGTAAATAGTTAAAGGGTTTTTTGACATATTAGAAGTTTTTTTTAAATTAAAGTGTAAACAAATTCAGTAAACCCCAAAAAAATGCAAGGCATGGGAGAAACTGTAAGTGTTGATAAGTCTGATATTGTAAATTATATTTTGCATAATGGGTTTTCATCAATTCCATACAAAGAACAAATTGTTATAAAAAATAAGGGGCGTCCTTTGCCTAAAATGTCCCGACTTATAAATATTAGTGCGGGTAAGGGAAGTAATAGATCATTTTCAGATAATTGGTACAACGAGTACTCATGGCTTACTAGGAGTGAAATAAAAAACAAACTTTTTTGTTGGCCTTGCATTTTAGTTTCGACAAATAGGGGCAAACATCAAAATCCGTGGTGTGAATCTGGTTACGATAATTTAAAGGAATTATTTAGGGCTTTACATAAACGTGTTATTTCGAAAGATCATACTTACAGCCAGATTAAATTAGATTTATTTGGAAAACAAAATATCCATGTTTCATTAGATAATGCCCAACGTGAAAATGCTATTAAACATAACGAAATTGTAAAAAATAATCACGCAGGTTTACGTCGTTTAATTGATATTGTAATTTTTTTAATTTGTCAGGAATTACCTTTTAGGGGACACGATGAATCGGAGCATTCGTTAAATCAAGGTAATTATAGAGAACTAATAAAAATGTTTAAGAAATACGATTTGGAATTTTCTAATTTACTTTCTGATTCGAAGACATTTAGCGGTGTATCTAAAACAATCCAAAATGAATTAAAAGAATCAATTAGTTACATTTTGAGTAACATTATTGAATCTGAGATTCAGGAAACCATTTGCTTTTCACTAGAAGTAGATGAAACTACCGACATATCATGTCATTGGCAATTGTCAATTGTTGTTCGATACGCGTTACGTGGTAATATCTATGAGAGGTTTTTAGGTTTTACAGACGTGAGTAAAAGCCATAAGGCAGAACATATTTTTGGTGTTTTTAAAGGACAAATTAAAATTTTTTGATATCAAAAATAAATTGGTAGGGCAAACTTATAACGGCCTGCCGTGATGTCTGGTGAATTAAATAGTCTCCAGGCAAAAGTTAAAACTATTGCACCGCAATCTTTATTTACTCATTGTCATGCGCATAGAATGAATTTAGTTTTGCAAGATACATGTAAAAAAATTAAAGAATGTCGTCTTTTTTTTTACCAGTTTAAGCGGATTTGCTTCATTTTTCTCAAGCTTGCCTAAACGGACTAATGTTTAGAACGGTTTGTTTCGAAAAAAATGCCAACAGTTTGTCAGACGCGATGGAATTTTAAATCTCGGTTAGTTTTCACTGTAGCAGATTTTCGTGAACAGCTTTTGAAAGTTTTTGATTTTATTATTGAATGTGACGATTTTGAAAGTGATGATATCTCGATCCATAAAGCAATCGATTTGAAAACTTTATTAAATCATTACTCTTTTAACATACTTTTAAATATTTTTAAGAAAGTGTTTACCCAAACCGATTTGATATTCAATGTTGTTCAAAATCAGTTAACTGACATTATTCATTCCAAAAATAGAATAACAAGACTGGTGCAAAATCTCAGTCAGATTTTCGTAATGATAGTAATTTCCAGTATATATATAACGCAGTGACGTTTTGGACTCGCTTGATATTTCCGAACACCCCAAAAAAAGATAAAGGCATGGCAAAGAAACAGATCTCGAAAAACGAGTACCTATATTTTGAAATTTTGGATACTATTATTATGCAAATAGATACTCGTTTTTCGAATTTTGAAGATTTGCAAATTTTTGACTTCTGACGATTCAAAATTTAAAAGTTACGCCAAAGAATTTCCAAGATATTTATTAGACAGGTTGATTAAAAATTATCCATCATTCTTTAATAAAATAAAATTAGAAAATGAAATAAAAGTTTTATATGCTGATCCAAATATTTTCGGAAGATGGGATAAGTTACAAGATATGTATAATTTTATATATTGCAATTCATTACAACAAACTGTTACCGAAATTAATAAATTATTTATTGAGAAATTATAAAGTTCTGGAACAAAAATGGAGATTTGATGAACAAAATGAAACACGTGTTTACTCTATGACTGTAATTTTGCTACTACCCTAAAAAAGGAAAGTGATACATTATTCAACTAGTAAAGTAGCCAATAGATGACACTGCTAGAAAATATTCAAATTTATTTATCTATATCCAACATTATTGTCATTAATTCTCTCATTACCACCAACGTCTGCCTCAAATGAACGAGATTTCTCTTGCCTCAAAAGAATCAAAAATTATTGTCGAAATACCATGAAACAAGAGAGAATGTCAAGCTTGTCTCAAATGTTAATAGAAAAAAAACTTTTAAAATCTCTTCAAAACTCTAATAAATTTTACGATGACGTTATTACCCATTTTGCTACTTCCAAACAACGTAGACTAATTATAGTTAGTTTATTTATAAACATGTTTAGGTTCTAAATTTAAAGGAAAAAACAAAAAAAAAAAAAAACAAAAAAACAAGAAACCAAAAAAATTCCTATGATGATTGAAGTCTTTATTGGACGGTATACCTATCTGTGGAGATAAAAAATACCTTGCCGACCTTGTCTCTCAAGCCACGAGCCGCCACTGGGCGCCGCATTGAGGAATCTTCCTGCTGGATGAAAGAAAAGGCTCTTCCTTCCTAAAAAACACAAAAGGGGTTATAAACTAACTTTTTTAACAAAAGAAATAAACAAATTGGTTTAGAGAAAAAAAAAATAAACATTTATTGTTGTCTCACCACAGACAGTTACAAATATAAATACAAAAGAAATACTATATAAATAGTTACAAAGATAAATACCAAAATAACAAAGAAAAAACACTTATTATGTCCTATCATCAAGAATGGAAGTATTGGAAACCATCAAGATACGAAAGCTGCAATACCTGGGGCATGTTATGCTTAATGAGAGATACAACATACTTCAATTGATTATACAAGGGAAAATCCAGCGCAAGAGAAGTGTAGGAAGAAGAAGAATCTCATGGTTACGTAACTTGAGGGAATGGTACAGATGAACATAAATTGAACTATTCAGAGCAGCAGCATCTAAGATCAGAATAGCCATGATGATTGCCAACCTCCGTCGCGGAGATGGCACGTGAAGAAGAAGATGTCCTATCAGTTTACAAACTCTTGAAGTTGGAGATATTACAATACTTACAATTGTTACTGGGCGATAATTTGTAGCAGAAATAAATTATTACAAATAAAAAAATACCCTTTTAAATGAAACTATGCATAGAGGGTAACCTTTTTTTAAAAACAAAAACAAAAGCTCAAATATGATTAGGTATTTGCCAGATGTCGAAATAGTGCTAACTATCATATGTCAATACTAAATCTTAAAACGGAGAATAATTAAAATGACAGCTAAGCCAGACCCTAAAATCTACAATTTTAATCATTAAATTTTCTTAAACTGTTATGAAAGCAATTGTTATTAGAAATGTTTATTTTTCGTTTAAAAATCAACATAAAGGAGTTACCTGGATTTCACTAAAATTTCTTTACTTTCAATTTCTGAGATTGGAACTGGACTTCACTGGAGATTTACTGCTAGGGAAAAAACTGCATCTCACACTGCGAATTAGTCTAGAATGACTTTAGACAGACAAATTTGAGGCTGAAAGTTGGCATTGGATACAAACTTCGAAAATATGCTTCTTTAAAAAACTGGAACCACGTGTGTATTTTTCAAATTTTTTGGAAACGTCGCAAATCTCTTAGATACAAATCTCTTAGGTGAGAGACGACACAAAACAAAACAGTGATTACTCTTATCTGAACTGACACATTACATTGAGTATAAATCACTTTTTTTTCAACAAATTTGCCGTTTTCTTTTTTCGACTAAATAGACATTG